TAATAATATATAATATAATAAACATTTACTAGCAATTTTACTAATTTCTCGGCTTTATCTCGTTATTTCATCCAATACTATAATTTACGTTACCGATAATTAATTGCTTGATTATTTTTATATAAATAAATCATGTAATTAAAATTACAATTGCGATAAATACATGATTTTTTTTTAGAACGATGGTATACCGATAAACATGAATGGATAACAGTGGACGGCAAAGTGGGCATAGTCGGTATATCGGATTACGCGCAGGATGCTCTCGGAGATGTGGTGTTCGCGCAACTTCCTGATGTGGGATCTACGGTAAAAAAAGAAGGTAGGAACATATATTTTTTTACTTAACAATCATACTTTGGCAGAAATGAGACTCTAAAAAATTAAAAAGATTAATCTGTATATGCTCCACCAAAAATTTTTACTATTCTATCTCTAGAATATATAAAACATTCTTAGATTTATATTACATTTTATACTTACATTTTTACTCCTGTAAACTAAATATATAAATACTGTTTGACTGATGAAACCTTGCATATATTATATAACATACACACAATATAATTTTTAAATTTAAATTTATAAGATCTTTTCTCACATAGAAAGTTCAAAACTATGATATTTCAGAGGAATGCGGAGCTCTAGAATCAGTGAAGGCAGCTTCGGAATTGATAAGTCCAGTCAGCGGGAAAGTTATAGAGAAAAACGAGACGGTCGAAAATAAACCCAGCTTAATTAATACATCTTGTTATGAAGAAGGTTGGCTGTTTAAAGTAGAGTTAAACAATTTAGATGAAATCAAAAATTTGATGAACGAAGAGGCTTATAATAAGTTTCTAAAATCAGATGCACATTAAATCCACAGACTAGAATAATTTTCTTTGACATAATTAACAATTCTATTTGATATTGAACTTTGATAACTTGTATAACGAGTTTTTTATATATTAAAATCTCTCGTTTTCAAATAAATGTATATATACGTATATATATTTATATATATATACATACACATATACACAAACTATATGAATATATAAATATATATTTCTCATTGTATTTTATGAAGAATTGTTATAAGCTTTGCATCTCAATCATTGAAAGCAGCTGACATCACATATATCATTTTATTCAGTAGGTTTATAAGTAATGAAAATGAATGTTAATTCTTTTTAATGAAAAACTTAGTGCGTTAGCAATAGCGTTTTATGTTTTCTTAGTACAACATATATGATTTTAATTATCCGTATTATGGTGATATCGATTATTACATTACTGTTATTGTTACTACAAAATGCAAATATGTTGTATGTTAATGCATCACATGTATACAATATAGCTCCATATAAAGATTTAACGTTTCTTTTTTTTTTTAGCAAATTAAAAATTGATATTTGTTGCGATAGTTGCAATATCTTTATTAGTCACTGTGCAATGTTCTTTGTATTATATTTATACAAAGCAAACAAATATTGTGATATACAAGTTGTTTAATACATGAATAATAGCATTCAAGTTACGAATTATGATAGTATTTCTTTTTTCTTTCTTTTCGAGTGCACAAGGACATTAAAATTTTGTAATAATTGTACATCCTAACAAGTGATTGAATAATCATAAAATACTATTTCCGAATCTCGCAAAATGGCATATCGACTGATATACCATTTTCAACTCTCCTTCCGAATATGTCTTTAGCAATTTGGTAATCTGGTACTAAATGAGGAAAATAATGTCATTGTGGGGGTTCAACCAGTATAGCATATAAAAAATAGCACTGTTAGCTCTAGAAAGGAACAGTTATCTGTTAATAATAAAGATATATTTACAGTCAATTATAATTTTTCTACATAATTTACAATTGCCAACTGCTAATGGCAGTGTTATAACAACGCATAATAGTTCTTTTTTCTTTTAAACTTTATTCCAATATTTTATTGGATCAAAGAATCACATTGATATTAAATTAGATTATTTGCCAATCATAATTGGTAACTGTACATATTTAACATAAAAAAATATACATAACGCTGTAATTATCGTATTTACTAATTACAATTGTTAATAAACATGTTGTGACAGATCGAATCATTAATCGGGATGGACTTGCATATAGGATGAGGCGTTTTATAGAGCGTGGCATATTAATAAAATACATTTAAGAAAATATATCCATTTTAGAAGAAAATATCTGAAGTAAAACTTGCAAGATGTTGCAAAGGAATATGTAGCGGCTATATAATACTTGATGCCATTTTTCAAAGAACGGCATATTAATAAAATACATTTAAGAAAATATATCCATTTTAGAAGAAAATATCTGAAGTAAAACTTGCAAGATGTTGCAAAGGAATATGTAGTGGCTATATAATACTTGATGCCATTTTTCAAAGAACGAAAATTTGATCATTTTTTTCAACATAATTTTGTTAAATATTTGCATAACTTTTAGCACCATGTAAATGTTCATATTGCTGTATTAATAAAAACGTGCTTGTAAATGCTTCTGATATAATCTCGTTACTTCGTTTACATGTATCTTCATAGGCATACACACTTATGTTATTACATGCTTATTAGAATTACAATGAAAAAATAACTAATGTCATAATTGGAAAACTTGCATTAATATTTAATCAAATGTTGTAATTAGATGCAAAACTTATATTAATATTTAAAAAAATCATATTATTTAATTTTCTTTGACCATCAAATTCTCTAGAAAAAAATAACCTTTTATTAAAAAAAAAAATTGTTTCAAAAAATTTTAATTTTAATAAAAAAATTATATATTTTTAGGGTGAAGATATTATTGCCATTAAATATCACCTTCCAAAATCTTATGCGTAATTTTTATTTATAAAAAGAAAAAAGGTCTTTTCCTAAAATTAAACTTTAAAAAAGATCAATACGTCACGCTTTACATGCCTTAATCCTATATACCAATATATATACATAGAGCTATATCTTCAAAATTTAGTTTTTTTTCTTAACATAGAAAGAGAGGAGATGATTGCGATTAATACGATTTGTCCCAAAATTATCAGACCGACAC